TTCAAAAGCATGTGTGTACCAGAGCTCCATCTCTCAGTATAGCTTTCTCTCTAAAGCCAAAACTGGAAAATAATCTTCCTCTGCAGTCACACAGAAAAACAAAACTGCTAGCATGACACACTGAGAAAGGTCAGGTTATGAAGATAGACAGTTCCATTTCTTTTGAAAACACATTCAGATTGTGTCACTACCATCTATATACTCAAAACGGAATATGCCACAGTGAGAAGGAAGCATTTTAACATATGCATATAAACACCCACAGTTAATATAAAAACTGTCAGAGTGGTTCCCCCACACCATCCTCCTAAGTGCACAACAGACCTATGTGTGGCTGTTGGATTAATGAAAAAATCCTGGAAATTGGCAGACCGCTAATGAAAAATAACTGTCTTCTTAAAAACGTAATTATGCAATTTCAAAATTAGTAATAATATAGACATAATTTATAAAAGAAATGTTCACAGGAATAAATATTTCTTTGTTTAAAAATTTCATTAACCCTCAGCTCTGAAGTTTTAAACTTGGATTCCTTTGGATTGTAGATATTTCATTGCCACATCAAATGCAGTTCTGCTACAGTAAACTAATCAAGCTTTTAAGGGAACTATTTTTTTAAATTAATGCTTTTCTTTTACAGTTATTAAGGCTTAAACATATTAAATCACATCTGACAATTTACAGGTTTGTTAGTGTCACTTCTTTTATATCTAAAGCAATTTCCATCATTTCAAAGGTTGATGGTTCCATCATCCTGATACATTCATGTTTCTATTTAATAACCTCATTCTGTCTGTAAAAGGGATACGTTCTCTTTCAATATGAATTCTCCCTCCTACGGGATATGCACTTCATTTACTTGTGTGCTCTCTCGCTCTTAAGTCTTTTATTAAAGCTATAAATAATTTTTTAACTAAGGGTACCTTTCCTCAATTACAGTCCTGTTGAATTGTGTAGTAACTCAAGTTTTACATTTGCAGAAGAAATTTTACCTTCAATAAGTGTTTGATTCTGGTCAAAGTAGAGTTTTCTTAGCTCTAACCACAGAAAAATTACAGGTTCTTACTATAAAATCCAGAAGTAGTTTTCTATACTGCTGTTACAAATTCATATTCTGCTCTTTGAAATTTTGTCATCTTGAAACTCTAGATGAGAAGAGGTGGTTCCATTGTTAGACACATTTTCCATTCCTTTCTAGTATTTCTGAGCACCTGTTTTGTGTGATATCTAAGCACTGTCCAAAGAGTTTGCCTAACTGTGGGCAAGTATGTATCCTAGCCTGTAGAAAATATGACCCCTTTCCCAAATAAGTAGTCAAGTATTCATGAAAGCCTCTTTCCTCTCTAAAGATTTTCCTGGCTGAACCTCTACTCTCTGCTGCCTCTGCCAGCATACCTTAAATTCCTTCCCTTATTCCCACTAAGGCTTGATGTGGCTTGTAGAGGAAATTTCCAAACCAGTGATCTTGGTGAGAGGCCTTTGTAGAAAAATTCAACCAACTAACTGTTATCAAGCATATACTATATAAAAAATCATGTTCAAAATTGAAAAGGAGCACACCTCAAGTAGTTTTTTTGGAAGCAGCAGCCAAGGAGCCCAAAGAGCAGCTTTGACTGCCCAGATCTCCCTGAGCTCAGAGGAGAGTGTGCAGGTTTGGTCCTCTGCTGGAGTGGGCAATTTTGTTGCTCCCCTGAGAATGATTCAACGTTCTGCTTCCTTTAATCATCTCTCTGCAAGACACTGACCTTCACTCTGGAGCCCAGACAGCTGACAGGACCTTCTGTGGGGCAGAACTCCCAGTCAGCCTCGAAGAATACCCACCTCAGGCTGAAACAGTCTGGTTGGTTTGTTCAGTGCTGTAAAGAACTTAGAGGTGATGAAGAATGTGTGATTTTAACCTGATGCTGTGATTTCTCTGATGCTGAGAAATTTCCTGGGGAGATTATTTGGGTTCCTCTCTCTGCTGACAGCATTGACTTCTCCTTCCTAGGGTGTTCTTGTATTTATTGTTGGTGAGTTAATATAGAGAATGCTGGGAATATGTACCAGAACACAGTTTTCCTTGTCCCTGCAATATTCCTTATATTGCTTAACTACAAATTAGGCAGAGGATAATGGGACCTCTTTTTTATACAGCTAATTTATCACTTCATTACTAAATAGGAAATCTTCCTTTCCATCCTGTTGCATGCAGCTATTAAGTAATCTTGCTTGACTCACACACGTGGCCTTTCATGTGTTTCTTAGTAAGGAAAAAAAATTACATAAGTTCAAGTTATTAGAAGCTGTGTCTTAGGCAGTGTGTTAGAATTTGAATTCAAATCCTCTAAATACTTGAGTATCTAGCATGTTGCTTTATAAAAGTAGTTATCTACATGGATACGCTTGTGTGTTCATGCCTCTGTGTATATGATATGCATTTAGGGAAACGAGAGAGAGTGCATAGCATGGAAACGCAAGGTCATGAAGTTCTGTTGGCAAATGCATTTAGGAAGGCAAAGGATTTTCTTCCTAATTTTTTTTTGTTGGTTTGTATGTTTGTTTTTTGACTTATTTTTTTTTTGTTGGTTTGTATGTTTGTTTTTTGAGGGGAGAGAATAATGAAACTGTTCTTTGTTTCTTCATACCTCAGCATTTGTTAGAACAATTTCTAGTTATTGGTAAAAAATGAGTTTCTTTTATTCATGCCCTTTGCCAGATCTAACTGTCTAATTTCAAGAATAATTGTTCTAAAGTTAAGAAAAGGACTTAATATAAAAAAATCCTCCCTTTTCCCATTTAAAAAACAAATCAATTCTGAAAAAAAGACCTATGTTATAGCCTCAAAACTTAGGTTCTTATACATACACCTATGTATCAAGACCAAGTGGCTATTGGAAATGTTGAGTTCCCAAATCTGACTAAAATCACTACCATCCTCAAACAAACTTTATTGTCTCAGTAAAATTTGGATTGGGAAATCTAAATCCCAGTTTTGATGGGGGAAAAAACCAGAAACTCGTTTTGAATATAGCTCTGTAACTTCATGTGTATACAGTCTAGGGGAGACAGCAATCAAAGAAGAGTTATGATGAAGGGAAAGAAATGCATTTTCTCCTTCATTATCAAGTTTTTCTGTTCACTTTATGATGGTGAAGCATTTTAAGTTATCTTTATCATTACAGCAGTCAGTAGACAGAAACAGTGCTTAGATCACACTCTTTCTGATCTTTATTCAACAAAGGAAGAACAGTCCTCTTCTGTCCATTGACTATTTGATGAAACACCTCCTACAAAATATGTGTCAACAGGTATTTTGAAATGTAATCTGAACAACTCAATATGAGCAAATTGATCCAGGATTTGGACAGAGTCTTATCTCAGAATGAAATGTGCATGAAAAAGTTAACAAAACATTGACTGTAGAGGAGCATTTTCCAATCCAAGTTATGAAACAAGATTTTGTAATGCTTAACTGTTACTGTCTCTTTCACTGTAGCTTCTAAGGGCATTACATTCCACCCAGGTACACCAGTATTTGGGCCAACAACTTCTGCTTGTGTTCAACTAAAGCAACATTTCTTCTTATGGAAAGTATTCTGGTTTTCCTTTCTCTGCTGGAAGAAACTGAGCAACTGCTGCCAGCTCCAGGGAGCATGCATAGGCAAGTACGGTTATTTCCAGAAAGTTTGATTAAATCTGAACTACAGCAGTTCTTCCATAAAGGCATGTTGTACTCAGGAAAGCACTGAAAAATGAAGGATCCACCATATTTCTTTATGGTTTGTTCTAGCGATGAAGCAGCTGTACTTTTAAATTTGAATTTGTCTGACTTCTATTTCCAGCTACTCTTTATGCCATTCTCTGTTAAAGTGCCCTTTTGTTTCCGTTTTTCTCCCTGAGGAGATTATGACACATCACAACCATATTTTGTATCATCTTTCTTTTCAAGAGAGTAATACTGGGAGATTTTTAAGGCTTAGCTAGCAGTGCTAGCCCTCAAAGTGGTAGCCCTTTCAAAATTGTGAGTTGTGCATTATGAGTGTCAGACTCACCAGTGCAGCATGCAAAGCTAAATCAATGTTGTATTCAAAGATCCCATGGAAGCAAAGTATTTTTTCACTATGATTTCCAGTGTCATTGCTTTCCAGAGAATTGTGTTGCTTTTGCCCTGTGCACTAGATGCAAAAGCCCAACACTACACTGACTTTGTACACAGGCAGTGGAACAGAGCCAGCCAGCAGAAGAGGCCAGGTTGCTCTGCCCTTGTCAGTATTCATCCACTGGCTGCCAGATGCAGATTTTATCAGCAGCAACTTTATACTTTACCCTGGGATCAATGACTGAAAGGATGGATACCCCTTTCCTAGTGACTCCAACAAAGAGAAATCAGCAGGGATTTCTTAGAGAGAAATTTTTATGATCTGCTACTAAATCACTTCACTAGTTATAAGGTAAGCAAAAAGAACAGTTTTAAGAATAGTATTGTTCAGGTGGAAAGCACAATGGTAAATGTGAAATACACTGAAGTGAGATTAGGCCTTTGATCATTCCAAGCAGAATGCTGATGAACCTATTTATTACACTAAAGTGGTGAAGTATAAATTATTTATGAGGAAAGGAATTTATTTTTTCTCATTTTGAGCTCCAGTCATTACACATTTGGCTCTGCAGCCACAGCTGTTTCTTTTAGAAATTGAATACTTGAGAAAAAACAGGCCAAGTAGAACACAACTCTGATTTCAATTGCAAATACTTAGAAATTTAAATAAAGCCAAAGAAATGCAGCAGATAGAAGTACTGGATATTTTCATTGCTCCAATGAAAACTCAATCACTAAGTAAGTTAAAGCCAAACTGTAAAGGTGCCACTACAATTAAATGTATTCCATAAGATGAGAACATGGGCAAGGTAGTGCAGAGCTGTCACCCCAAAGGACCCTCCAGTGAGAAATGAGAAGCAGCAAATATTTTGTAATGACACTAATGGACTCTTACTGGATTTGGACAGATTTCAGATGTACTTGTTCTCCAAGTGGTGAAGGTCCATACTGAAACATTACAGCAGTAAACAAAAATGAAGAATAACTGGGAAAAAAGGAGAGAAATAACCCCAAAAAAACAACTGGAAAACCTGTGATGGCAAAATCACAATGATCTATCAAAGATGTGAGTGTAATTTTGACATGCCAACAGAATTTCTTGGTGATGTCGCTGCTTTGTAACATTTTTTTGGCTGGACAATGTCAATATGGAGAAGTACTCATGGGAAAGTAATTATCAAACAAATTAGAATCTAACCAATTTCAGTTCATTGTGCGCTTCATAACCCTCAGGGCCTAACCAAGGGAGAGACTGAGCTAACTTTTTTCTATTGGCCTTTCATTGACAGCAGTAGAACTATTCAATTCACTGTCACATAGAATTTGGATTAATGTGCATCCAGAACTATACCAATTTACTCTAGCTGTTATCCAACCCATTATTTCATTGTCTATTTACAAACTGGTTTTATTTTTTTGCAGACTTGCCTACAGAAAAACTGAGCTAAATGAGCTACTAGACTGTATATACACTGGGCTGCCAGCTAAAAGATGTATATGCCCACAGCCGAGGTAATTCATATGAGTCCTGAGTTGTCACTTCTTGGCTACCTAGTTCTGTGTGCTGTATGCCTCTGTAAGGAATCAATGTATTTAATGACATTGAAAATGCTGACATTTTGAAAAAAAATCAGTTAATGCATCTATGTGTCTGTATATGCTACAGGGTATGGAATCTTTACCAAGACAGATCATCTTATTTTTCAGTGTGTGAAAAAGACTCAAAACCTCAGCAGGACAGTGTTCTGACTGCCTCCTGAATGTTACTGTTTTCAATACTCAAACAAATAAGCAGAAACTGAGGCTCTGCAGAGAACAGTTTGCAGAACAAGCCACTGTATGCATCTGAGAATAAACCTGTAGTTAAAAAGAAACCACCTCCCATTGCTGATATCACTCCCAATCTAACTTCATTCTTAGAAGATCCATCAAGATAACTCTGACCAGCACAGTCCAGTCCAATTTGGGTCTGCACATGTTGTCCAACATGGTTTTTGCCTAGCTACTGAATGGAGGCTGTACTGGTGTGATTAACAGAACTTATGTGGGGAACACATGGCGCTGGGCTGCTTGCATCAGAGAACAGCCAGTGTTACCCTGAGACAGGAGCCACTGGTGTATCTCTGGAAGGCAGTCACTCTCTCCTCTTCTTTCTGTGTCTCTGAACACTTTTGCATTTAAAGCTGCTCTGGGCAGAACTTTACAGCTTATTTTTGGAAGCCAGTGAAAGAGCTATTTGTCAAGCCTTTAACTGCAGATTGGTCAGCACAATTTTCTGAAAATTTATACAGCGTTCAGTCCTTATTCTGTGCCAAGTATGAGCTGCCTGGAGAGAACTACACTGCACTTACAGCAATTGCACTTCAACTGTCATGTTCTAGGTGGAATCTCAAATGTTTACTAATCAGAAAACAAGCTTTCCACAGTTCACTGTATGAATACCTTAAATCTCATCCTCTCCCACCACTGTGAAGGAAATCAAGTGGAAACTCTGGAGCAAGTTACTGTGTGTCCATGACATGCTGCAGCCATTCATCAAGCAAAGACTTTTAAAATCCTATGCAATATATTATATCAACAAAGAATTCTAAGAACAAGAGTAAGAATATGGATGGTATTTTACAGCTTTTACATACATAAAAAACTCAACTAGCATGTATTCTGCTAGATATGTGAAGAAACATTCTGTACTCCATCAATTACTAGCATTGGGTAAATCAAGTATAGAATGAAGAACTCAGAATAAATTTACATATATGCAATTCAGACAACATACTTGTAGCAAATGAAGTTGCAGTCAAACACTGAATTAGCATACTGTGCTGGTTTTGACTGGGATAGAGTTAATTTTCTTCATAGTAGCTATTACGTGGCTGTGTTTTGGATTTGTGCTGAAAACAGTGTTAATATAGGGGTGTTTTTGTTATCCCTGAGCAGTTTACACAAAGCCAAGGCCTCTTCTCCTTTTCACCCCACCCCACCAGCAAGGGGGCTGGGGTTGCACAGGGAGCTGGGAGGGGACACAGCTGAGACAGCTGACCCCAACCGCCCACAGGGACATCCCAGACCATATGATGACAAGCTCAACGCATTAAGCTGGGGGAAGAAGAAAGGGAGGAATGTTTGGAGTGATGGCATTTGTCTTCCAGAGTATCTTGGGAGCCCCACATTCCCGGACAGAGCTGAACACGTGACTGCCAATGGGAAGTAGTGAATGAATTCCTTGTTTTGCTTTGTTTGTGTGCATGGCTTTTGCCTTACCTGTTTAACTGTCTTTATCTCAATCCATGAGTTTTCTCGCTTACTCTTCTGACTCTCTGCCCCATCCCACCGAGCGGGGAGTGAGCAAGCAGCTGTGTGGGGCCGAGTTGCAGCTGGGGTTAACCCATGAAACATAATTAAATGCAAAAAAACGTTTTCAAAACCAAGGCAGACCTCTAAGTGAAAGAACTTTCTTATTTCTGACACCCACCATTATTTATCAGCATAGAGATAGTGACATAACAGCGAGTATGCTCAAACTGACATGAAGATAGATTTAAAACAATACAGCCTGTGTTGTCAGGAGGAATATCTGCAGCAGATTGCTGATCCTGGCTCCTGTGATATTAGTTTTGAGCTGACACAAGGTGTTCATGACCAATTACATCCTGTTCCATTGATGTTGATAGTGCCCTGGTTATACAGACTCCTATCTAGTGCCAAATTTCACCTTTGGCCATTGCCAGACTCTTCTTTCCCAGCTGTTCCCCAGTTTGAGCAGACTCTGGAGCATCCTCAGCCTGGCACAGACATCCTGCCGCTGCTGTTTGGCCCCTGCCCAGTGCAGGCGCTGCTCTCGGCTGAGCACAGCCCGCCTCCAGCGCGGGCAGCACACACGTGGCTCTGTACCAGTTATTGTTCTGGGATTGGGAGGGACTGGAGAGCGGAGGGGGAGCAGCCACCGCCCTCCCCACGAGTGGGGCGCGGGTGCCCCCGAGCGGCTCCTCGGCAGGGACTCCCAGCAACGACGGGACGGGCACAGCCCCCTGCCACAGCAATGACTTTCTAAATGGCAGTTTTTAGAGCATTCTTCTAGTTAGGAGCATGGATATTTGAGTCAATTAATTTTTCACAATAGCCACCGAGACACAACAGTATCCAATTCCTCATTCAGTTTCTGCTTATACTTCTCCTCTATGTCATAGTCAAATACCTCAAATTGAAGCTGGAAAAAATTAAATGTTCTCACTTCAAAGTCCCTTTCTTGACCCTCTGTATTCATCAGCTTTATCTTTGCAGATATATATAGACCTGGCAGATGTTACAGTTCTGGGTATAAGAATTTAAAATGCATCATGTTAAGAGACTTATGTTGGCAAATTATTGAACTCTCCTAAAGAGCCAATAAATAAAAATTACCAGTAAGATGGGTAAAGCTAGAAAACTGTAGTTGTTGCGGATTAGAATAGTGACTCTTTAATTAAAGTAATTGTGAAGAGAATTACTGATGCAAGATACAACTGCCTTTTTTTGAAGAAGAATTCAACCTCTTATGAGTTGCTGAGTAAACATTTGTAACGCAAGTCAGAGCCTTCAAACAACTCCTTCTCTAGAAAAATGTTACCGAGAGGCACATCACCAACACTTTCAAGTAGTCTTAACTTCTTCATCAGAAAAGAAATGCTTAGTAGTAGGTCATATTCCATTTCCCACAATTTTTACTCACTTCCACACTTCTAGTCACCATACTTGTTAACTGTGGTCCTTTTTTGAAAATCTGAGCAAGGTTTCACAAATGTATAAAATTACGGATTGTTAAAAACTGGAACAGGTGATACCACATTACAGTGCACTGACAGAAGAACCTTAGAACTGTAAATCCACAAAATTTTTTATTAAAATAACACCAAGTTTAAGAAATCAATGCAGTGCAAAGAAATTTCAGTTTGTCATACAAAAATTTTCCATCCTTAAGTATGTAAACTGCATTCCAATCCTGACGTGACTGACGCAATACAGAAACAGAAACACTGTAACCCAGATGAATGTCGAAGTTAAAGACTGGCATGCTGAGCAAGGAAGGTTCTTATTCTTTGCAAGAGCTCTTTCTTTACACTGTCTGGTACCAAGGCTGAAACACAAATAAGGTGGCAAAGAGTCAAAAATACAAAACAAACATATGCCAATACCAAACTTTCACAACAGCAAAGTCGATCCTTTGTTTGTTCTCACAATTCTGTTAATATATTGAGTAACTGAAACGACTTGATTTTCATATAGCACATCTATATTTCTCCCATTAAAAATAGGCTAAAATTGAGGTCTGTTGAGAACACTGTTGTTACTGGTAGGTTTTTCTGCCTAGTCATAGTACAGAAAATAGGAAAGCTTGAGGGAAAGGATTATTGAACAGTAAACAGGATATAATCACCACAACAAATGTGATTATCCTTTCTTCTTCACAAATTTAAAACCAAAAATTTCAGCCATGACCTCAGAGTAAAAGTCTCCAGCAAGTTATTTTGAAGGTCTATTTTTATTTAAAACTGAATGATGTTTCTCCCACTAACATCAAAGTTTATTAGAGAGCCCAAGAACGACAACATAAAGAAGACTGCAGTTTCCTTAAGTGACTCCATTTCTTCCTCTATCTGTATGCTAGGTCCTTTACTCTTCCCATTCCCATTACACTAAAGCTGTTAGTCCAGATTTTCCATCTTAAAGGATCATTAACTTTAAAACATCTGTGCTGCATACTCCAACTTTTCTTGGGACTATTAAGTCAATTATAAAGATGAATACAGACACGACTAAATAATGTGACCTGCAAAGTAGTCTATGCACACAGCTCATTACAGAGTTTGAATGACTGTTACACAATACCTATTCACATGTTTTATTTGTTGTTAATATTAAGCTACTAACATTTTTCCTTGAATCCAACACAGGCAATTTCATAATGTTGCTTTCAAAACATTAATGAAATAGAGGCGGTTATGTTTATTGATGTACTACCACATCTATGTATGTATTTCCTTACCTCTGCCTTTGGGAGTGATTTCTGCCACCAAATCATCAACAGTAACATGCTCTAATCCTTTCTCTTTAATGACATCTAGGGAAAACCAAGATCAACATTTTAAGTCTTTTAATCCATTAATTAGAAGACAAAACCTGTGCCACTGATTAGGATACAAAACCTGCATGCATATGTCGTCAGAGAATATGAAGTAGCAAATGACCTAAATGTAGGTTAATAACTCAGTACCTACTGCATTTTACACTGGATTAGTCTCTCATTCATCCATAGGTTTAAGGATGGGAACTTGTCTCTTCTGATGCATCTTGTTCAGCTCATATTTTAAAAACAAACATTACAAAGTTTTATCTCATCTGAGCATTACCAGATGTGCCTATTGCTGGAGTGTTGTAGCACAAGGTGGCTGTTTATCTCTTAGAATACATTATTTACATAATAGTGAGAAAGATGCAACTGGAAAAAGACTTGGGAACATACAAAAAGGGACAGCACGGACAGTGCTACTACTCTTCCTGTCTGGTTTAAACAACATGTCTCTGTATTTCAGCAAAGTTGAAAAGTATCTCTGAAAGAAAGGAATACAACTATAGCAAAATAACAGTAATGATTAAGATATAGTATATGATTAATACACATCAGTATTTAAACAATTTTCTACTTATAGTGCCTTGCACATTACTGAAGAATGCAGAAGTCAAAGCTGAGAAATAATCTCAATTCAGTAGCATGAACCTAAAATATTATTTAAACATGTTTTTAACTATATGTCAGTACCTAGGATTGATTGTCCCCAAGACACTAAATATGTTTTCTGAACTGACATCATATGAACTATCTGTAAACTCCTTTTCTTGGCTGAATTCCCTGAAATTAATCCTGGATTGCTCAGTTGTTGGTCCTAATCCATAATGGCAAGAAGCTCTAGAATAAGCTACAAAAAAAACACAAAAAACCAAAAAAACCAAAAACAAAAAAACAGCCAAAGAAAACCAACGAAACCCTCATCACAACAAAGGAACTGGAAAAGAAAAAAAAAAACAACAAACAACAACAAACCAAATAAACCCCACAACCTCCCCCGATAACAGAATGTTTAAGGTTGGAAGGGACCACGTTGGGTCACCTGGTCCAGCCTCCCTGCTCAAGCAGGGCCATCCTAGAGCACATGGCACAGGATTGTGTTCAGACAGTTCTTGAGTATCTCCAGTAAGGGAGACTCCAGAACCTCTCTGGGCAATCTGTTCCAGTGCACGGTCACCCACACAGGAAGGAAGTTCTTCCTCGTGTTCAGGTGGAACTTCCTGTGCATCAGTTTCTGCCTGTTCCCTCTTGTCCTATTGCTTGGCATCACCGAGAAGAGCCTGGATCCATCCTCTTGAGACTGTCCCTTCTGATACTTATAAATATTGATAAGGTCCCTTCTGAGTTATCTCTTCTCAAGGCTGAACAGGCCCAGCTCACTCAGCCTTTCCTCATGAAAGAGATGCTCCAATCCCTTAATCATCTTTGTCACCCTCTGCTGGACCCACTCCAGGAGCTCCACGTCTCTCTGTCCTTTCTTTTGGAGGTTATAAGGCTCTTAATGCAGACAAATTAATTTATATTTTTCCAGTCTCAGCAGCTGCAGTTACAGTTCAAAGTACTAATGTAAGCAAAATAATTTTACATTTCTTTACTATAGCAGAGTGTAAAGCATATAGCTGAGAAAGCAAATAAACATCCCTTCCATTATCTGTACTACTGAAATGGATAATCTCTGGCAGTGGCATCAGCCAGATGACTGCAAGCATGAATAATTTCAGCCTCCTCTGCTGAACCTATGAAAACAATTTAACACAGCCCTACAGAAAAAAAAACCAAACAACTTTGTAACAAACTATTGAATTTCCAGGCACAATAGACCAAATCAGAATTAAAGTGAAATCTCAAGGGATTTTTATTTGCTTTAAGTAAATTTCATCACATGGTAATATTCCTGGATGCTTAAATACTATATGTATAACAGTTTCATACGATTTACAAATCAGTAAATTGTAGTAATGCTAAACACTTAACTCAAAACTAAAGACTTGGGTACTTAGAGGTTCATCTGCTTGTTTTCCCTCCTCTAAGCAGATCACTTTATTTTCAAGAATTGTATTCAAAAAGAGTTCAAATGCACTTCTTTCTCTCCTGTGTGTGGACAAAGTTCTGTAAGTTGCAAGTTCAGTAAGTTCAGAGTTTCTAAGCTGCAAACCACTGTATTTACTCAATCCTTCTTCATCTTTCTCAAAAAAAAAAAAAAAAAAGCTGTATCATCATGAATATTTAGGGAATCAATTTCTACCCTTGTCTCAGAAGCTTAATAAGGTTCAGATCAGAGTTCTTCCAAGACTTTTTTTGCCAAGATAGTAAAATGCTTTCTTGCATGGAAAACTAACTGCCAGGGATACTTTCCGCTTTCCCAGATTTCATTTAAATTGACTGTTAGGCAGTGCAGCCTTCATCTCAGTTGACTACAAAGGATATTAATTACTTGACCACAGTTACCTTTGCAATGTGCCTTCAACTGATCCTTCCAGCCGCATTCAATTAATTTGGCTCTCAGCAACTCTTTAAGGCTGTTAAGACAATATACAAACTTGTTAGGAACAGCAAACACGCCTGACAGCTTAAATATGCTTCAGTGTGAAAGTTAAGCCTACAATTACTACCAAAGAACTCCCAGGCCAGCAGCAGAAATGGCTGAACAGCACATGAATCCTAAACCGAATGAGGACCAATTTCAGTTTACCACACTGGACTATGAAGACTGGGTGGCTCAGGAGCTAATTCACAGCATTTCTTCAGGCAGTATTGATGCTGCAGCCACAGCAAAGGGGTAGAAGTCCTTGAATCACTTGAACTGCTTGAGTCTACTCTAATAGCAGATGTATGCTAACTTCCAAAGTTGGGAGTAATTCACTTGAAACCAGGTATTCAAAATAAATAAAACCTTATCCCCCTCTTCTGAAGAGAATTCTGCACGACTGTCTCCAACTGCAGATTTCTTTCCCCAGTTACACATTACCTCCATATACCAAAAAATATTGAAAGCTAGCTAAAAAAGTGTAAATTAATATTAAAAATCAGAAGGGAAAATGAAAACAAACTATGATAAAATAAGCTTTAATATCTTTACCCTTTATTCCATCAGTTAGCAATCCTGCTTATCTTGTATCATCCTAAAAATCTTGGCAAAACCCTAGTTTTATGAATGAAAGGATTGCAGCAAGATGCTGAACTGTACAGGTCTAATCCCTTTTATTCAGTGAGTTGTGTAGAGGGCAGATGAAGTGATGACAAAAAGCAGAGTAAAAATACAGGTGAAATTGACTGCTCCTGGATATTTCTTAATTAAAGAAATTCCGAATGCTCTGCCTCTGATCACAGTACAGCTCTCACAAAGCCTATTTGTAATACAGCTTTTGACACTCTGTTAAAATTTTTCTTACTCTTAAATTAGGATAAAATAGATCCCAATACCATTTCAAGAAATTGCCTGCTCTGCTGAAGCTCTGTGCAATCTCCAAGGGGATGGTCACAAACAGGAAAGAAGTGAAGCACAGATACCACGTCAGGCTGCAAAAGGTTACACCAGGTACAGGGCTACACCATGACCCAGAGAAAAAACTCCTCATACAAGCCTTTGAAAAATGAAGGAAACAGAGCTTTTGGTGCATGGGGTTACAAGCACAGTGAAACAATGAGGAGGGAAATGTCGTAAGCATGCTAATAAGATGTAAATACAACGCAAATAAAACAGAGGGAAGAGACAACAAAAGGCCAAGAACTGACTGCCACATTACATTGCTCAATTTGCTTGTTTGCCTTTATTGGGATCTCTACAACGACTTACAGAAGTGCTGTTGTATGTGTTCTACCATATGTTTCTTTCCCTTACATCAGAAGATAGAGAAACACAAGAAAAACTGTAAAGCAAAAAGGAAAGTTTTGTCTCGTTCTTTTTATCAGGAAGTAACAATGGTGATTTTTATATGAACCAAGGCCATTTCAACACAAAATACCAGAATAAGAGAAAGTGTTCATAAGCCAACTACCCTATCCTTTACTTCCCCGGCATCTCTTTTCAAGTGTAAGACTAAAATGAAACTGTTCAAAAGGCATTTTTAAATGGCTTTATATAATACCTAAGACTTTCATGTGGTGGCATTTGAAGAATTTAGAGTTAAGTTTACTTAATCTCTACTTCTAGGTGTAGCTCACGTTTGATGTATTTAAAGTCTCTCACTGGCACGGAGTAGGATGCCAACTTACCGTTCCCGCTCTCCGGTTTCTATCAGCTTTTGGTTAATGGTTGCTCTCATCTGGGCATCTTTATTCATTTTGGAAATCTGGGTTTTCCACAAACCTGCAGAGAGGGCAGAGAAGGAGTTTCGACAAGCGCTGGTGTCACTCACACAACACAAAGAAGTCACCGAGGCAGAATGACACGCCGCTCTGTCCCCACTGACCCCCCCGCGGTCAATGTGTGTGCCCAGCTCAGGGCAAGGAGCTCCCCCGGCAGCCCCAGCTCACCGGGCCGCCCGCACGGGCGCGGCCCCCGTCGCCGGGCGCGGCCTCCCCGCAGCCCGGCGCGCCCTCCCGGTGCCTCTCCCGCCCGGCGGTGCCCCCGCGGCGCCCGGAGCGGGGCTGGGAGCGGGGCAGGGCCCGGTCCCACCGCGCTCCCCCCTCACCCTCCGCAGCGCCGCCGCTCCGGGGCCGCAGGAGGCGGAGCGGGCGGGTCACACACACAGCGGGCCACCCGCCCCTGCCGCGCGGGCACCGCCGGGAAATGTAGTCCGGGCTCGGCGACTACAGCTCCCGGTGCGCCCCGGGCTGGCGGCCGCCGCCGGGCCTGAACTACGACTCCCAGTGTGCCCCGCGGCGCCCGCGCACCCCCTTCCCGTGGAGCTCGGCGGCGGCTCCCACGCGTTTCCCGCAGCTCCGCGGACTTGGTGGCGCTTCCCGAAGTTTTCCTGGAGCTACGGGATGGCGGGCGCCGCCCACTGCTCCCTGCAGGCCAAGCGCCTGCTCCTGGACCCCAAGTTCGAGGGGTACAAGCTGTCGCTGGAGCCGCTGGCCTGCTACCAACTGGGGCTGGACGCGGGTGAGCAGTGGATGCGGGGCGGGTGCGGCGCGGGGCTGATCCATCTGGGAGCTGATCCCGCCGGGCATCCCTTGGGCAGCGCGGGAGGCCCGATCCGCCCGCCGTTCCCTTGCTCCCCCAGCGGTGCGGCGCGGCCCAGCAGCGGCCCTGGGTGCAGGTGCCCCGAGCGGGGACAGCCCAGCCCGCCGGAGCCCCGTGGGCGCTCAGGGGACCCATCGGCTTCTCTGGGTATCAGTGGCTGCGGTTTGGCAGTGGCGTCCCTTCTCCCCCTCAGCCTCGGGTGGGCTCTTGGTGGGCCGAGGTCTCTGTCAGATCTCTGCCTCGCACCTCTCTGCCCCTGGAAGTTTGGGCTTAGTTTCTAAATGGGTAAGGAAAGCCTTGAGCTAAATCTGATCTTGGTTTGTGCAGACGAGCTGAGGCTGATAACCACCTCAGGGAGTTCAGAGGGGAGTGTGAACGGAGAATGTGTGATTTAGATAAATACATGTGAAATTAATATGTTACACAAAATTCAGCAAATTAGCTGTTTGTCTTTCTTACTCTGCCCACAGTTCAGAGGTTGATCCTCAGGCTATGCATTCCATGCCCTGCTTTCTCTGCCAAGCATCAGCAGTATTTGAGATGCTGCTCCACTAATAGGCTAATTCACTGAGGAGTACATTAATGCTAAGTCCTGTTGAGTATGTGCCTACAACACGTCCCCTGAAATCTCTCAGCACTCTGCGTTTATTGATTCGTGAAATTTAGGTCTTTTGTAAGGTGGATAAATTAGTTTTCTTTCTGTTTTTTTTAATCATGCTGAGAACATAATATACTAATTGGTGTCTCTGTATATTTACTGAGCAATAAACCTGTCTACAGAGTTACCCATTATATGGTACTTTAGTTCTTTGTTGAAAACATTGTATGAGTAGTGGACCAGAAAGGTATGTTTACCATGCTGAGTTGTCAGCAGTAAGATGGAACTTGTAGGTAAATTGTGTATTGAAGGACAAGTGAACAAGCTGAGGTCGTCCTGTCTGTGGTAGGAGTGGAAAATCTAATAAGTAACTTTTTTATTACATATTTTGACAATTTTACTGTGAGACTGATTTAGGTGTCGCCTTTCAGAGTCCAAATACAGTTGTGTGGAGGCGTGCTACAGTTGTGTCAAAGGTGGCAATGATGTACATAGGTGCAGTCTCTTAGTTTATCCCTTATTTGATATTCTGCCTATGGTCAAACAAGCTTTGTGGTTCTTGGATAGTCAGTTGTGCACCTGTTCTAAAGTGTGAGGATGAGAGGTTTCATTATAATACACAATCAATGGAGTTGCTAATGGACAGGTGGATCTACTCAGTTCTTGTTCATTCTGACATTTTAAATAATAGTTACAGTAACTGATGTGATAGAGGATTGGTATCTGTGACTGTATTCTTTTCCTTCCCCATTTCCCACAGCACAAAAACTCTGACTTGTTTCAGTCTAAACTTACTTGTCTGTCCTACAGACTCATTAATGTTAACGCACTTTGTTCTCTGTGTGTGTATGTATATATAGGTACAGATATAGGTCCTCTGGACAGTGGAAAGCTTTTGTTGTTGTTGTGTTTGGAAATTAGTAGCAGGAAATACACAACTGTCTTCCAGATGTTTTGTTTTCAGCCTACTCTTAGGCCTTCTGGTTGCCTCTTCCTCCTTGATGGTTTTCTTTTGCCTCTTTCAAGGCAGTTTCTTCGCAGTGCAGAGGGGTTCTGTACCTGAACTTTGTGTCAATGGTCTACATATGTGTTAAATTGCAAGCATCCTTCCAAAACTTGGGGTTTATGTTGTACAGGAACAATGGGCTGAGTTGTAGAGACCATGAATAATGTGGAGGCTGTGGCTTTTTCAAAGTACTGCATGTGAGAAGAAACTAATACTGTGTGAGAAGGCCAAGAATTTCTACTTTCCAGCGCATTTGTGAACAGATTCAAAGCCTCTGGAACATGATGAAGAACATTGTAGTTTGTGGGCTATTAAATTAATAATTGTCACTGTGTGAAGAGTTTGATTGGATTTCCTCAAAGTGAGACTGAATACAATAGCTAAAAGAAATGTCAAATGTTTAGGAACACTTATCAGCATGATTATTTCTGATTTTATTCACAACTGTTTGAAAAAATATGGAAGATTATTGTTAAAAGGCTGGAAGATTAATGTAAAAAGGCTGTTGAATTTTTTGTTTGTTTTCCAGGAAAATACTTTGTGAGTGTTTGTCTCAAAGGACCTGAAATTTGAAGTTCTGCCTGTGTGGCATCCCAGATTTTGTGGCAGTAAGATGAATATGTGAAGTTTAGAGTACTTGAAATACATGACAATAAATAGAAATAGGTACTCCTTCTTAAGTAGAATTGAGTTTTGTCTCAGCTGTAGTTGAAGTATTTATGCAGTGTTATTACAAACTTACTTATTAAGTTTTAGAGTATCAATCTTCTTTGTCAATATATGTATCTGTGTTTTTATATTTATCTATATTTATTAATTTCACTGCTAGGTATAAGATAAAATAAAAAAACTTTTCCACATGGAATTGATGCAGGCTTCTACCACTGGAGCAGGTAGATAGCAGAATGTGGTACTGTGTGGCACTTGTGGTGATTGTCATGCTCGTGTGGACTATGGTGAGCTTCATTTTCTGACCATTGTGTTCAACTTAGTATTCAGTTCTAATTTGCCTTCAACTGTCAAACTGTGGTTGACAGGAATTTGCTCTTGTCAGGTGTGCAACTGACACAGAAATAAATTTTTAAAAATTATTTATTTATTTAATCTGTGGTAGAAGGCAATTTTCTAGTGAATTTCTTAAAATGTGTGGTCACAGAGAAGAAGAATGGGGGAATTCTGATACCTTTCCTTCCCTTTTAAACACTATGATTTGCATGTTCTTTTATTTCTTCCTTACTCCTACCTATTCTGCCCTAGTTAATTCTAAATTGTCACAGTCATTTCTTGTCTCATCTCTCATCCTGGTAACGTATTTCAACTAGTAGTGGGTCCTGCACTATTATACCTTTAATTCCTAACTCTTCATCCTAAATTTTGTATATCTCTTGCCTTTTTTTTAGTTTATTTCCATAACTTATTTTCAAACATTTTCTTTGCATTGAGCTTTGTAATGAATTTTTATGGAGCAAAAGGCACTGATATGTTTCAAAGACTTGGATATTTTAATATTCCATTTTCATTTGAAAAATTAAATATAGAAAAAAGTCTTTAATGTATGGGAAATAGTAAGAAATTGTGAGCTCTTGCAGACATTTACTGCTGTAGTTCATAAAGGTTTGTGTCAGGCATGTGTGTATCTGTTGTGTTGTACTTTCATTTCTTGAGGGGGAAAAAAAGATAATGTAGAGGCAGGTTCTGCCTTGGACCTGCTGTTAAAGAAGATGGTTCTTGCAGCTGGCACAAGTCAGCTTTTAAATCGAGGCATTGCTATAGTGATACTTTAACAAAGGCCTTGCTAGTTTTTGGATCTTGTTAAATTCACACCTGTGTGAGTAATTTCGTCAGGCAAAGCCAGTTCATTACAAGGTGTCTGTCAGTCCATGCTTGTTTTCAGCAATCCACGTGTTCATTAAACGGTATTTTTCTTTTTCTTTTGTCTATTAACATACTTATTGCAGTAGATTAAACAAGCCTTGTACTTTTACTCAACAACAGCAGTGAGATGACGCTGGCAATAACAATAAAAACATATTTTTTTAAATTTAAAGAGCAAACATTAATGCAGGGTTAGAAGGATCTTTGAATGCTGATACTAGAAAATAAACTATCTCTTCCACCAGTAGATCAGTGTGTATGAAATACAAAATTGCTTCCACTGGGTGGCATTGCAAAACCAGGCATGACATGCAAGCGTATATTCCATGCCACAAAATATGCTGATATAATTATTTTGCATCTTTTACTGTATTGTAAAGTTGCTTTGGTATATTCAGTAAAACGTCTAAAAATGGAGGGTCTATGGTTGTGGGGGTGTGTTTCATGGCAGATGTAAGACTTCTCTATTCATTTAAAGTATAAGTTCCTGATAGCATTCTTCATTCAGAGAATGTTGGGAGTGTTTTTGCAGTGCAGAGAAATAATTACTATAATACCCAGTTTGGGAGTTTATTATAGCATTTAAGTTAGGAATGTGTTACTATTTCTGTTGATTGCTTTGAATTGCTTTGTATTTAGTGCTTTTGCTTTTAAGTAAAGGCATTGTGAGTGAAAATCTGTGCTTAATTATCTTTGAACTGTCTTGAGTCAAATGACTTTTTTAAAGAATGGAACTGGAGATAAACAGAATTTGAGAAAAGCAGCATGATTTTCTTTGTCCGAAATATCCCACCTAGCTAGGGTTGTTGGGAAATAATATTGAAAGCTGAGATTTAATTTGTATATTCTGTATATTTTTTTTTCTGATGTGACACAATATGAATTATTGTTTCTGGGTTTTAGTAGTGCAGTTATCAGTTATTAGTGTATTTATCAGAAATTTGAAAGAGCCCATGTATCATTCTGTTGAGTAGCTGCCACTGACTGCTGCTTTTTAGTTGAACCCAAACAGCTGAAGCTAGTGAGTTAATTAGTCTGACTCTTAAAAAACAAACAACAAAAAACCCCACCCCAAAAACCCAAACAAAAACCCTAAAACAAAATAAACACTCCCCCAAATGAAGCA